CTTCTTGGGAAAGCCAGGAAACATGGAGGAATCCCCTGTCTGCATGGTGTTACCCACTGTGACTCTCTTGGTGTACTCAGGTACCTTCTAGAGTGTCTGCAAGGCCAACAGGTGGAGCGCAGGGGAGCTTTGGTCGAGCAGCCTGAGCTTATTTAAGGGCCGTCCCCTTCCAGATATGTCTGTGCTTCGCCATGCAGAGCTGTGGCGTCTGACTGTTTCTCTCCCCTTCCCCACAGAGCTACGAGACCTCCTCCAAGATGGAGCAGTTCCTGACCCGCTTCCTGCTGCGGGAGACCATGCACCAGCTGCAGTCCCTGCAGGGCTCACTCGAGTGTGCTGTGGACACCATGGAGGAGCAGGCAGGACGGGAGAGGTACTGGGTGCTTGCTGGGTGCGCTGTGCCCTCGCACCACCACGGGGTCACGGAGTGCTGGGACTCGGGGAGCTTCTGGGGGGGATCTGTTGGAGCTGCCCTTTGTGACCCCAGGGTGCAGTTGGCCCTGGGAAGGACCGACCCCAACTCCTCCTTTGCTTTTTATCCTTTCAGAAAGGACATAAAGATATCAGAGACTTTGGTTGGCTTGAGGTCAGGGCGGCGATGTGGGCGCAGAGGACAGAAGAACATCTGTCTGTCTCCAACAGACCCCTACTCTGGGATGCTGACCACAGGTACTGTAGCTCAGCCATCCTGGAGCCCTGTCAGTGGATAAAAGTGTCTGCCCCCATCCTGCTACAGCCTGGGCTGGGCGTGAGAGCAGTCTGCAGCGGGGCCTGGACTGCTGCACCCAGAAATTACAACCCAGACCATTGTGAGATTTTGTATCTCTTGAACAGCAGGAAGGCTTTCAGTACAAAAATCAGTTTCTTGGTTTATATCAGAGGTTTAGAAACTTCTGCGGTTTTCTGAGTCTTTGGCAAGCTTTTGTGGTGACATCTCTGTGCCTTCACCTCTGCAGGCGTTTGTGTGGAAGCTGACAGCCAGTGGATGGCAGAGATCTCCAGGCTCCAGCAGCTCATTGAGAAATTGGAGTGCAAGGTGCGGGGGGCTGGGGGCTGCCCCACACCTCAGTGCCAGAGCAGCTGGGACCTCTGCTCGTGCCAATAGCTGTGGCATTCAGCCCTGGCTTCATTACAGAGCTGCACCAATTCACCAGACTCTGACTTGTGAGTCAGTCTGGACCCACAGAGCCCCACAGATGTGTGTGTGTCACATCCCCTCGTCCCCAGGTATCTGAACACCTCTGAGGTGGTGCTCATCTCACACCGAGCTGGGCTGGGCTGTGGGTGGCTGCTCATTTTGCTTTATTACCAAATTCTCAGCTAACAATGATTCTGTGAAATGCAGAGCCCACGCCTGGAGCCTCTGAAGGAGGAAGCAACGTGCAAAGGAAGAGATGAAGTAAGTGCCTGTCCTGTTGCTTGTCTCTTGCAGTAATGCTGATGTGTGTACAGATTTTTCTCTTGTGCTCCTCTATGCACTGAGACACTCACTGGCTTTAGTCCAGAGCTGTCCTTGTTGCCCAGGGCACATGCAGCCCAAGGCACGTGCAGCTTCTGTGTGTGTGTGTGTGTGTGTGTGTGTGATCAGCCCGAGGAGGGCAGCGCTCTGCTTGTGAGCACCCAAACCTCTCAGCTTTGTTCCAGGCCCCGTGGTTGGGGTGTCCCTTTCAGCTGGAGCGAGCACAGAGGGAAGCACAGCAGTCGTGGTGCCAGCCTGGCTTCTCTGCTGCCCTGTGCTTGCTGTCAGTGCACCATCCTGCTGCATGCAGGGAGGAGGGCAAGCATGGGGACGGCTCTGTTTGCGATGCTGCTGACTGCCTGTCTCCCCTGCAGAGCATCCTGGTGGCCAAGAGACAGATATCAGTGGCCAAGGGTGGCATCGAGGAGTTTCACCAGGCGCTCAGGTCCTACATGGAGATCACCACGGCACAGAGCAGCTGCCTGCAGTAAGTGTGGTGGGGAAGGAGCAGGGCAGCCCTCAGCCCTGTGTCAGCACAATGCAGGGCTGTGCTGGGAGGCGAGAGGGGGTTATGCCAACCTGAATGATGGTGCCATGCACCTGAAAGAGAGTACAGCTTTGAGAGACTTGAGAGGAAGGGAGAAAAGTCAGGGTAGAGCTCATGTCACAGCATTATTTCACATTAAGCGTGAGTGGTGCTGGTGGGAAGCATCCTGACCTTCTAAAGCTGGCCTCTGATGTAAGATCAGGGCTGTGCACCAGCACTGCACCAGAGCTAAGGATGGAGCCCTGGGCCAGATGGAGGCACAGCTCAGTCACTGTGTCCCTGCAGACTGCAGCTGCTGATAGAGTGTCCCTTTTCCCAGGGGAGGCTTTAGGCTGCTTCCAGAGGAAAATGTTTGTGCTGTACCCATTTAAAGTGCCATTTTTCAGCTCTTCAGTTTCAACAGTACAAAACTGCATTTCAGTGCAAGCAAAAGGAAGAAACTTGTTTTGATATGTGGCAGTGAGAATGATGTGTAATTTTTTTTAGGCTTGATGGGCTTTTCCCTCATAAGAACTCGTAAGAAATTGCTGATAGGTGGATGGTTGGACTGGATGATCTTGAAGGTCTTTTCCAACCTTGGTGATTCTGTGAGCTGTTAGTGTGACACAGGAGCAGCACTATGGGCTCTCCATGTGAGTGGGAAGCGGATGTGAAGCCTGAGAAGACCCTGCTCAGTGCTCCAGCACAGGGAACATCAGAGTGCAGTGCAGCCCTACGCATGGCACAGCTCTGAGCTGCTGCTTGGGCATCCTTGGGTGTCCTTTGCCTTTGCTGCCCCAGTTTCCTTCCTGCACCTGTCACAGTCCAATGCAGATTGTCCCGTGGCTCTGGATTTCACTCCCTGAGAAATAATGAAACACCTCCATGCTGCTCCTGGGCTGCTGTGAGGGTCACCCCAAAGGCATTTCAGCTCCTGGCTGTTGAACTGACGTGGTGGGGGTTCCCCAGGTCGTGGCTGTGCCCTAGCATTGCTCTCTGGCAGCTGTGTGGGCGCATGTGGGCAGAGCTGTGCTCCTTGTTCCCAAGTGGCCGCAGCTCAGGTTGCTCCTGTCCCCACAGCGTGTCTGCCTGCAAGCTGACGGACGAGGCCTGCTTCATCCTCTATGAGTTCTGGCAGGATGCAGCTTCGTGGAGAAGGTCAGGGGCTTTCTTGTGTGTGGTGGGGGGGCCAGGAGCTCCTGCATGCGCTGGGTGGGAGTGGAAAGGGATTCTCTTGGTACTCTGGGGGCCCTCACCAGCCTGTCCTGCTCCCTTGGCCCCTCGTGTCCCAGGACTGATGGCAGCAAAGGGGGGCTGAGCTCTCAGCTCGAGGTGTGGGAGTGGGGTGGGAGCAGCAGTGCTCAGGGCAGTGTCAGTGCAGCCCTGTCCCCTGCCTGGCACAGAGCCCTCCTGCAGCCCTGGGGCACGAGCAGGACAGGCTCCTGACCTGCACGCTGCCCCACAGCCACCTCCAGTCCAGCCACAGCAAGATGTTCCAGCGGGCCACCATCAGCTTGCTGGAGTCCCCGGAGCTGCTGACCACGATGCTCTTCCCAGGTGAGTGGGGGCTCGATGAGGCTGTGCTGCGGGTAGCAGCCTCCTACATCACATTTCCAAATGTGCTGTGTAGCCTGGATTGCTGAGCAGATGAGAGCAGCTCCTGGTGGAAGGCGCACACAGCCCTGCTGCTGCCAGCCTGGGCCCCAGCTGGAGGCTGCACTGACTGCCCACTGTGCTTCCCCCCCATCCCAGAGAGCTGGCTGTACAGTACGTGCCCTCCTGGTCCCGGGGGCTGTGTCTGAGCTCCATTTTTAAGGGTGCAGTGAGAGACCTGCTGAGGGGGGAGTTTGGAGGCAGCTCTGACACCGAATTGCTCTGCATTTTGCTATTTACCATGCAGGTGGTGCTGGTGCATCTGCAGGGGAGCCTCAGCTCTCTGAGCAGGGCTCCATCCCTGCTCCATCCCCCCAACCCACCCCTACCCTCAACACCACATCCTGCCCGCTTCCCCTGAGCTCTCCTTTTTCCCTCCCCAGCCTCGTGGTGGATAATGAACAACAACTGACCCGAGCAGCCGCTCCAGCTGCTGCTGGCACGCAGAAGGACACGGAGCCCCTGCACGGCCACCGCCTGCGCTCACGTTTGTCACCTCTGCTCCCCCTCCTGCAGCCCCAGGGCTGCCTGCCTGGTGGCCCCAGCGTTGTTTCACCGTTTTGCTCTTTTTGTGTCCTTCATCTATTAATTTATTTACTCCTCGTGCAGCGGGTGAGCGTGGCACTGGGTCCCCACGGTGCCATCCCCGAGTGCAGCTCCTGGCTCTATGCTGCTGCTGAGTGAACATAAACAGAACTGGCACCAGCACAGTGCTGGCATGGAGCGTGTGGCTGTCACTGCATGCTGCGGGTTGGGAATGGCATGGTGAGGAGCCAGGGCAGTACAGTGGCTGTAACAGCACAACGGTGGCTGTGTCCTCATGCTGCAGAGCCAGCAGAAACTGAGCTGCTGAGAGCAGTGTGAAGTGAGAGCCAGCATGGGCACAGGCCACAGCCCTGCAGGGGAAGGGAGAATGTCACAGCTCTTCTCCTGCCACGCACCTCTCCTGCACCAGCAGCATGGTGCTCAGCACCACTCCTCTTTTCCCTGCTGGCTTACACCAGAGATGCTAATTTGAATGGTTTGACTCCATTCCCCATTTGTAGTCATTAAAAATGCCATCAGCCTGTGCAGTGCCATGGGGCACAGAGAGGCAGGGCAGGGCTTGGGGTGCAGGAGAAGGCTCTGCTCCCCCCAGCCATGGAGGTGGGGGATGGCATCTACGAGAGGGCAAAATACTGGGGCCTGCAGCTTGTAACTGCTGCTGAGCAGTGCTGGGGGGCACTTGGGGCTGACCTGCAGCCAGCAGCTCTCCAGGGCAGCCACAAACATTTCCCCAACCCCTGCATGGCCACGGCCCCTAAACCCTGCATTTTGTCCCCATGTTTCTGCCCCCAGCGGCAGATAGGAGAAGGTGCTGTGTGATGAGGAGAGTCTTTTTATTGACTACTTTTGAGTAGAACAAACTAAATACATCTGTAACAGTTTGGGTTCCTTTATACAGTACATTAAATAAGTTATGCACAGGAATGAAATACAAATTCCTATTACAGAATTAAATGTCCAAAAAACAAAAAACAAAAAAAGGAAAAATAGAAAACTCAGTCCCTCAAGTCTGCCCATGTCCAAAGTTCACGTGTATCGTTACGTGTTTAAAAAAAATAATTATTCTAATCATGACTGTTAGTATTGTACTCATTTACACTGGGGTTAATTTTAATACACAGCCACCAAAGCTGCATGAGGACGATGGAAGACGGTCTATGTACACACGCAGGCAGCACTCGGCCCTCACACTGCAGGCCCTGGGCTGGGCTGACCCCGGCTGCTCCATGAGAACTGGGAGACTTTGGGGCTTTATTTTGCAAGATAATCCCCTGCAGAGGCAGGGCTGAGCTGCAGAGCAGCTCCCACAGCAGCGTTCCCTGCAGGCTGTTGTTGCTGCTCGAGCCCAGCACGCCGCCTGCAAGCTCTGGGATCATTCCTTGCATCTCCATTATTCGCCTCCAATGGAAAAAGTGATCAAAAATAATTTGGGAATTACTTGCCTCATTGGGCTCCAACCCAACGAGCACACAAACCCAGTCATGGAAATGCAGCTTTACTGAACAGATGCTTTCCTCAGTCCCATTTGTGTGCAGCACAGCATGAGCTCAGTGCGGGTGCACTGCGGATCCTCCCTTTGCTGCACTGCTGACAGCACGGTGCTGGAGCACAGCCCTGTGCCCCCTCAGCCCTGAGCAGCTTCTCCCCAGGCAGTGCTGGCTGCAAGGAGCTGAGAGGAGCAGCGGAGGGTGCTGGGCCCCACGGCTTCAGGTCGGGCTCTGGGGCAGGAGCTGTGTGGGAAGAGCGGGCTGTGACAGCACCCAGCGCTCACACTGCAGCCTCGGTGGTTGAAAGCAGTAATAACTCCCAAACCAACAGCTTCCACGCAACAGAACAACGCTTCCTGCATAGCAAATATCTGCACCCAGATGGAAAGGGCAGTAATCACCCATGAGGGATTCAGATTTGGGCTGCAGGCATTCAAAGGTCCAACATCAGACCCAACACTGCTGCCTGGCGTGGCACAGAGGGACTCAGCGCAGTCCCTGGAGTGGAGCTGTGCCCCCACCCCCAGGGTGATCCTGTCCTTATCACTGCATGGCTGGATGGGATGCTCCTGCTGGGACAGCAGCCCCGCTGGGGCAGAGCACCACACAGCACTGGGAGCAGGGTAACAACAGACAGACACACCTGGGGCTGAATAAGTGGACTTCGGACACCCCAAGGAAGGAGCTCACGTGTCTGAGCCAAGGCCCAGGGCTCTGTGTGCCCAGCACTCCTGCCTGCAGCCCCGACTCCTCGGCAGCGATGGGTGCAGAGATGCTGTGGGTGTGTGCTGCAGCTCCCTGTGCACCCCGCAAGGCAGGAGGGGCGGCAAAGCTTCCAACAGAGGTGACCTGGGTTTGTCCAACGCATCAACTGATCCGAGCTCCCGTGGGTTTTATTTTCCAACTTCAAAAACCAAAACACCACCGGGACAACGAAGGAAACGGGCTGAACCCAAACTTCCCCTTTAGAGTCCGTTCGTGTCTATCGCTGTCACAGATGCGGGCGTGGAGGAGCGGGAGGTGGCCGCCGAGCTCTTCTCCATGCTGGGGCTGGGCACGCCGTCCCCGGCCTTGGCCGAGCGCCCTGTAGGCAGCGCCAGCCCCTTGCTGTGGCCATGCAGGCTCTGCCCGCAGATGCGGTGGTGCCGCTCCCAGTCCTTGTGCTGGCAGAAGGAGCCGCAGTAGCGCGCGATGTTGCAGCCGCTGCACGTCTCGCTGGCCTTGCGGCCGCAGTTCCAACAGCTCTGAAAGGAAGCAGACGTCGCGCTTGGAAACGGGTCTCGCAAACAGAGCTGTAGGAACGTAACAGAGCTGCTGCCCCAACGGTGCTGGGGGGAACCGCTCACCCCCGCCGGCCCCCATTTGCTCACACTGAAATGGGTCCTGCCCTCCCACAGACCTCTGCCAAGCCCAGAGCACCGCACTGCCCCGCTCCCACTCTGCCCACATCCACCCAGACGCACGCAGGACGCAGCAGGCGAGGACTGACACACACACTGCTGTCTGGTTTTTCTATTTCCTGCTATTAGCAGCTCTGTTCTGGTCTCAATCCCAGCCAATTGCTCACCACGGAGATCCCAGCGTGCTGCTCCGCCACCAACTGCTCTGCCCCTGGGTGGAAGCACGGCTGTGAGTGGGACAAGGAGCACAGCACAGCCTGCAGCCCACAGCCAGCTCAGTGAGAGCACAGGGCCGACGCTGGAGCTGCAGCCACAGCTGCTTCAAGGGAGCGGGGGAGCAGCTGAGCTGCAGCTGGGCTCATGTGATGGTGAACGCCCACCCAGAGGGGAGTGCAGCTGCCACCAGCACTCAGTGCTGTGGGCAGGAGTAGGAGGCTGCAGGGTGGGCAGGCAGCGCACAGGGCTGTGCTGGGACAACTTGCAGGCTGCCAGCACCGAGCCCACAGCAGCTCTAGGAAAGCTGTGTAAGCAGCTTAAAGCAGTGACATTTCAACCACTGTGCTAAATCACGCTCCTCAGGTCACACTGTGCCAGGATGCACGCCAGCTTGTAAAGCCCCCAGAGAAGAGTCCCCAGTGCTGGAGGATCAATCAGGGGTGCTATCAGCTCCCATGTCCCCGCTCTGCTCCCACTGCCCTGTGCAGCAGTGTAGGGCAAAGGATGGAGGCAGAGGAGGGGATACACCCCAAAACTTCCCCTACAGAAAACCACTGCTCACCTCAGTCCTCCTCAAGCAATTCCACCCACTCCCATTGTCTGTTTACTGGTTGCTGCATTGGTTCATCTTCAATGATTTCATGGGAAAGTACCAGAGCACAGACACATTTATAACAACACCCCACGTCCACACAGCTGCTGCCATGTGCGGGGATCAGAGCCTCCCAGAGGATCCCAAGGGAGGACAGAACTACACTGGCTGTCCACATGGCCTGGGGTGACACAATTCCCCACTCCCTTCTCAGTTTTGCTGAGCAGAATCAGGCAAAGCCTGGAGCATTTGAGCAGAGAAGTGACAACACTGAGCCAGCCACAGGTGGCTGTGACGTCGCAGAGCAGGAATTACTCGAGCAGCTCCTGCTCAGCCCCTCTGAGACCTCCAAAACCAAATGGAATGCATTCCCAGCCAAAGAGCAGTGAGGGTACCTAATGGCTGAGGGATCAGAATAGCCCTGACACTCACTCCCCACATTCTGCTGCGACAAACCTGAAGGCACCCACGCTTTTCTGAGCTGCCATACCCCACTGGGTGTCCTCAGACTCTGCAGTATGGGGACAACCAGCCTACGCACATTACCCCTGAACCCTATGGGGGTGAGAGGAGCAAGAGCCCTGCAGAGCCAGATCCCAGAGGGCAGCCATGCACACTCCTGTGCAGCATGAGCCTGCAGAGCAAAGTCCCAGACAACACACACTCAGTGCTGCTCAGCAGCACCACAGGCACAACACAGCCACCGAGCAACGGCAATTCCAACCACTCACAGAATCTGGTGGCTGCCCTGCACAGTCCCAAAGCCCACAGACAGCACTTCCTTATCTGCACACATCAGAACTCCACAGCAGCACATTTCTGAGCAGGATGTAAAGCTGTCCCACCAACACCCTTTTCTCTCTGCAGAAATCCCCACAGCTGGCCCCACACTCTGCTGACGGTGCCCTCACACCACCGCCGTGCTCCCACAGCTTTTAAAAGGGATGAAAGAAGGCAGGGGACACCCAGGCACTGCAGAGCAGGACCCAAGGCTTGGGACTCACGGGCCTGCCCAGTTCCATACCTCCGTGGACTCCTCCTGCTCATTGATCACCAGGAAAGCATCCTCGGTGGCCTGGCGCTTGGCGTCGGCGATGGTTTGCTCCATGCGCGCCCTCTCGGAGGCGATCATCTCAAACGCCTTCTGCTCTGCCTCTGCCACAGCCTTCTGCACCTCCGACATGGCCTGGCGCTTCACCTCGTTCACGGCTTCTTCTGGAAGGGAAGCTCAGCCTCACCAGCCTGCCAGGACTCTGCGGCTGCGCGTCCCCAACAACACGGGGATGGGCTGCCCTGGGCGCACCGCCGGCACCGCGCAGGGGCAGAGCCAAGGCAGCAGCGTGCAGCCGGGCTGTGCTGTAGGCAGGCTGCTCCTGTCAGTGCACTGCAGTGCCAGAGCTCACCCTGGGCAACCCCACAACCAGGGCTCACCTGCTTTCTTCCATATCTCCTCGGTGACGTAGCCCGGCCCCGACCTGCTGCCGAACTCCCGCAGTGAATCTGTTGGAAGAAGAGCAAGGCGGGGAGGGTTAACGGGGCACAGCTCACAGCAGAGGGTTCCTCCAGTTGGAGCCGTTCATCAGATGCTCGGAAGATAAATCACAGTCCTTAATTAGTGCCCTGCATAATTTATGATGCAGTATAACCCATTCCCATCTCCAGGTACTCTGCACCAACTGGAGATACAGGCGCACCACCAAGTGCTGCGCGCTGACCCCAGCGCCGGCCCCCAGCAGCTCACAGCCAGCACAGCAGCCGTGGGGACGCCCACATGGGGATCTGTGCCCACACTACAGAACTCTCGTGCTGCCTTCTATCCCTGCCCTTTTTTAATGTCTCGAAATCTCATCCGCCTCCTTTCAGCCAAACTCTAAAAGCCACTGATCCCTTCAGCTCTGCAATTCAGATCTGCGTGGGGTTCCCACCGCAGGGCAAGGGCTGAGCTACAAATACTCATTTTTGCTGTCTGAGAACTCACAAAACTCATCCAAACTCAGCTAAACCTGACCCAGACCCTAATTTGGGTAACCTTTGGACATCCAGGAGGATTCACTTTATGTATTAATCCAAACAAGTTGAATATTTATATTGAATTGTTAGAGTTGGGGGGGGATTACTCATAAAGGCCATCTGGTCCAACCCCTGCAGTGACATCAGGTTGGTCAAACTGGGCTTCTGAGCTTTAAGAATTGTATGCATTGAAGTCCTCAAGGTCAGAAATGATTTGGGTTTCAGTGAGAACTACATGCGCTCAAACTGGGGGGGTGAGGACAGCTTTCCACCTGTAAGTTAATGCTTAGGACTGCCACAACGACAGATGAATTGCCATCCAAAGCAACTAGCAGCTTTCTCCCCATGATTTCATTAAGTGAAGTCAAGCTCATCTTTCCAGTATGTTCTATTTAATGACTCATCGTCAGTCTGAAGAGTTTCAGAGCCAGCAGTCAGCTGCTGTGCTGGAAGAAGAAATCACTGCCCACCACAGGTATGAAAGAAATGCCAGAACAGGGCACAGAGGTGGAGCTCGTCTAGAACCAAGGAAGCTTGACTTTCCTCATATAAAGGGGCTTAGAAGAGAGATGGAGAAAGACTCTTAATCAGGGCCTCAGGTATCAAGACTAAGGGGCAATGGTTTGAAACCAAACGAGAGCAGATTTAAATTGGACACAAGGAAGACATGGCTCACAATGAGGGCGGTGAGGCACTGGCACTGCTGCCTGCAGAGCTGTGGGTGCCCCATCCCTGGAGGTGCCCAATGCTGGGATGGAGGGGACTCTGAGCAGCCCGATCTGGGGGACGACCCAGCCCACGGCAGGGAGCTACACAGATGTCCTTTAAGGTCCCCTCCAACCCAAACTGCCATCCATTTCTGTTGTACTCCCTTATGTTTTGCTATAAACCTATTATTTAAAGGCCCGTTTTCAGATAAAACCCTTTTTCTCGTGCAGTTTCCCACCCAGCACCGCTCACCGCTGCCGATGGAGTCGGAGCTGCCGGGGCTGTGCCTGGCTGTGCCCAGCTCCCCCCCCAGCCTTGCGTGGCTCAGCCTCACTGCACCGCCTCTTCCAGTAGTTGAGCTCCTCACGGTCAGCCTCCTGGCAGCGCCGCAGCACGGCCATGGAGCGCCGGGTCTTCTCCACCATCTCCATGATGCAGTTCAGCGCCTGGAGGGAGGCAGGGAGGGAGGCTGTCAGTTCTTCTGCCACCGCTCAACCAGGCTGGTTGAGTTCCCCACTGCAGGTGCCCCAGGGGCTGTCCCAGCAAAGTAAACCCAAAGTTATTTCACGGCAAAAGGATGTGAGCATCTCGTGGCATCATGTGGTATCTCGACAGTATTCAAACAGATACCATTGGGTCCCACGGCCATCCAAGCAGTGATGCTGTGGGTGTTACCACCTCCTGGGAGCTCAGCATCTGGTTTGGTCACCAACAGATGCTGCTCAAGGTGGAGTGAGAATAAACTGCTCTCCCATGGCAGCAGAGTGCCCGTGCTGCTGCCTGTGCCCCCACAGCAGTGGGGATGTGTCTTTACGATTCATGACATCTCTCTCTCCAACCCAGAGGAATTGGTACCAGCACTCCATAGGTACATCCCAACTTAAAATATTCACCTACGGGGCCTTCTGCTCCATATCCACCCACGTGAAGCATCAGCTTTAGGGCATAAGCAAGCATAGGGCCCCTCTATATTTCTGATCAAAGCTGAATTCCAATTCCATTTCTTTAGGGGAAGCATTCCAGAGAAGTGCTTGGGTCAGCAGCCTTGTTCAGCACAGAAAAACAGGCTCTGCAGAAAGTCTGCCAGAAGTACCAAGTCTGCCCATACCCAACCCTGCCCCATACAGGCTGGCAACCCAGGAGAAAAAGCCTTCAACCAACCCCAGCATTGTTGTGTTTTGTTCTTTTGTTTTTGTTTTTAATCTGTAAGTTCCACACACGTGCTGCACACAACACATCTGCACGCTTGTTGGTACAGTGCTGGCCTGGGCAGCTGCTGGAAGATCTGTGCAGGTTGTTCTGACCTGTGCAGGTTATTCGGACAGCCAGCAGGAGCAGCTCTCCAGCACCAGACACTTGGTTCAAACTGGTTTTGGCTTCCACTGGGCGCGGGCAGAGAAACAAATAACAGGAAACTGCTCCTGCTGAACTGCTTGTGGCAGCCAGTCCAACTGCTTTTAAAGCCTGCGTAAGGTATTGTATCAACAAGAAGGAAATCACTAACTGGAGCAGGTGAGCAGCGGGTCGCTGTGTCCCACAGAGCTTCCCACACCTCCCAGCTCCTTACATGATCGAGGTGCTTCCACTCGTCAGCCCACTCCCTCTCAGTCAGGCGGTGGTCCACCAGCTCGTCCTGGTAACCTCCATTCAAACCTGCAACAAACCACAGTTGGAGGAGTGATCAGATGGAGCAAATGCTTTCAGTGCTGCAGAGGGACCTCGGCCCCAAAGCAACAACAGAGCAGGATTTCTAACCAGGTGGAGCTGTAATTTTAAAACACATCTCCAAGACATGGGCTAATTGCATACGGCTGCTCTGATCCTTGCTTGTGTCATTGCCTCAGAAGTGCTACAATCCCCTCACAGGCCTGGACCTGGCTTGCTGAAAAGGCAGTTCCCCGTTTGTAAAGCCACAGGGGCTCTGAGCTGTGACTCGGGTTGCCCGGCTGGAAACAGGGCTGTTGCTTCCACACACCCCTACCAGCACCAGGAGAGAGGGGAGGTCACACACTGCTCTCCTCACACACCACAGATGTCCTACATCAGTCATTTCTGAAAAGTTAATTTCTATTTATTTCCACAGCCTTCATCTCTGCATGCTGGCTTGGCCACAGTCAGCGCCAACACCAGGTCCTGCTCGCTCCTCACCCCTGGTGGCTACAGCCTTATACCCACAGAAGGAAACTGCAGCTCTGCCTCTCCCTCTGTCTTCCTCCTTTTAACTTCTCACTATTTGACGTTCTCTCTGACTTCTCTGCAAAACCTCTCAACTTCCTTATGGGACACGCCAAGAATTACAACCCAAAGCCCTGCAGAGCTGCTCACCGAGCCCGCCGTGCCTGTCCCGGATCTCCCTGTGCTCCAGCATCTTGCCAGGGTCTCTGTACAGATGGGAGGTGGCAATGTCTTCCAAGGTGTAGTGCTGGAGGGGCGGTGGGGTGGGGTGGAACTGCCCACCAGGGTTCAGCATTGGGATGCTGAGTGCTGGGCTGTGCCGGGGCGCAGGGCTGATGGTGCACACACGCTTGGCAGGCGGCTCCGTCGGCAGCGGCTCTCTCTCAAAGCTGCTGTCATCCCTTCTGTAACCACACCAAGAGACACAGGGTTTCATTAGCACTGCATAAACAGGGAAGGGAAAGATGAACAAATTGAAACAGCAGAATTTGGGCAGTGATGATTTTACCGGAGGGGTGAAGGAGGGAGCTGAAACAAACACGACTGATTTGTGAACAAATCCACGGAATGACCTTGCTAAAAGGAGTTCAAAAAATGCCCAAGTGTTGTGATTCATCTTTCTGAGCACAACCAAATTAAGATTTCACAGCTTCTATAAATTTGAAGTGTGCTCCACATAATTACATAACTACTTTTACTTGGAATAAAGGCAGCGAAAACAAAACCGCGTCCTTCCCTGTGCTGAAAGCGCCTCCACCTGCTGCCTTCCTGGCTCAGGCACTTGGGTGACCTGCTCCCAAACAAATCCCCGTGGGCAGGGTCTGCCTGAGAGCCCCTGGAGAGGGTCTGCAGCCAAACGATCAGTGCTACAAGCAGGAGTTACAGCCATAGACAGCAGTAAGGAGCGCTACAGCTGCCTCACCAACAGCTGTAAGGAGCGCTAAGATCCTACGTTTGGCCCAGAACACAGTTTAAAGTTCTAATTCACCTTCACTGCTGTCCAAAAACATGACTTTGGGAACAGAGTGGCAAAGGCTCCTCTACCTGTCAGGGCTGTGCCTCTTGCTGTTCCCGTTCACCTCGATGAGCAGCTCCGAAGAGTCGGCCGGGGAGGAGGCGGTGTTGAGAAGGATGTGCTCGTGCTGCGCCAGGTACTGGGACGGCGTCTGCTTGGCAGCCCGGGCGCAGTGCAGCAGCTCTCTCTGGAGCAGAGGGAGGTTGGCCTGGAAAACATCACGGCTCTGCTTCATACAGCCTGCACGGACACGAGCAGCTTTGCTCAGAGAGCATGAACAGCTCGAGCCCGGGGCCCCGCTCAGCATTTCCCCACTTGTCACGTCTGCGCTGGGCAGACCTACCTGTGTTTTCTCAGGGGCTGGGGATGGCCTGGGGCCGGCAGACACAAAAGCACGGTGGGAAGCACTCTGTGCTCCCAGCATCTCGCTGCCCCAGACACAATAAGCCAACACCTCAAACACTCTAGATCCCAACATTTTCAAACTGCAGAATGGAGATGGGTTTGTCTCATTTACCCCTAGCGCACAAGCAGACATATGTGGCTCTCATTACAAAGTTAGCTTTCTGCGAGCCAGTAGCACGTGGCAACGGCCATGGTCTGTGCAGTCTGTCTTGGATAAGAATAGTTGTGGAGCTTGTTATGAGAGCTTCCCCAGCAGGGACATGCTGCCAAGCAGCACAGCCCTGCACAGCACTGCCAGCCCGCCCCACCAGCTCCTGTCACCTTCAGGAAGGGGATCACAAATGGCCGCAGGGGGAAGTTCGTCGCCTCTTGCAGCTTGCAGTGAAATTCCTCGATCGTCACTGTTGAGTTCTGAGAAAAAAATTAAGAAATGAAATGACTGTTTGTTCTTATTTTTAGATGCTTGGAAAACAGCTCAAAACGAACAGAACTAGAAAGGAGACTGCATCTGCCACAACAGGACTGACAACGCTCACACCAGATCCTGCCTCACACAGCCAAACAGACTCAGGCCAACGGAGCAGAATGACTGCACCAAACGTGGGGGGCTGAGGGCACTGCCAGCACCAGAGCAGGCGGCAGCAAGCCCAGCTGGCACCTCCTGCAGCCCAGCCAGGCGGCCCAGGGCAGGCTGGGGACGAGCAGCAGCTCCAGCTGCTTTTTCCCTCTCTTCCAGCTCAGCTCACCCAAACCATCCACCATCCACGAGGTCACCAGCAGCCTGCTGCTCCTATACTGATGTTCCCAGCTTGGGTGCTATCTGGAATAAGCTGCACACACAAAGTTTATCCCTGCAGCAATAACTGCCATCAGGGGGGACAGCGATGAGCAGAGGAACTTGAACACTTTGTCATTTCTTTCACTGGTGGGTAAACTGATGCGCTGCCTCGCACCCATGGAAATACAGACAAGTGCTTGCCTGCTTCAGCAACAACATTTGGTGCCTGTGAAGAACCCCGAGGCTGCAAACAGACTCATGTATGCTCTGCCCATGCCAACCTGGGGAGCAGCAGTACTTCAGGCTGCCCATGGCCCAGCTGTGTTTGCTGCATGCTCAGCCTCTGAGCAAGGCTGCCAAAAGCAGAGATCAGCTCAGAGCTGTGCTGGGCCATACACCAGGTGGCAGCTGGCACAAGGCTGTGCTCCAGGACCTTGGCTGAGCATGCACAGGGCTGGGCAGCATTCCTACCAGTCAACTCGTACCACTGCAAGTACTGCATCCAATCCTGCAAGGCCTGTTCATTTCTTTCTGAAGGATGTTTTCAGCTCTCCTTACATGCAGAGGGGCAGTGTGTGCACTGGGTGCATCAGCAGCAGCAACCCTAGCTCTTGCATGCCCAAGCACAGAAGATGCAAAAAGTCATTTACCAATCCCCTTCCTGCTACTGCACTGTCAGGCTGCCATAAAAATGAACGCAGCTCAGTGACAGTTTGCCCAGCCATGCACTTCTTGTAGGTGCAGGGAAAGCACTGAGGCCTCCTGCTGCAGTGCCAGGCTTTCTATCTTCCCCAGGCCTCGGCAGTGCTGGTGGGGCTGCACTGCAGTATGCAGGATGGAAAAAGCCCACTAAATGCCCCCTGTGCTCAGCACTGCGTATCACAAGAGTGAGGTGCTTGAAGCATTGAGACATCCTCTACATGTTCAAGGCTTAGAATTGGATTTCTTTCAAAAAGCAGCAGGCACAGAGAGCACCCCCACAGCTCAGCATCACCCTTTCTCCCCCCCAGCAAGTTGTGCATGCAGCACCTGCAGAGCTGCAGCAAACAGGATGGTGGCCCAGCATGCAAGGCCCAAAAGCTCCCTGCAAGATGCTCTTTCCAAAACAGCACCCAAAGCCATTCGGCTGTATTTGCAAAGGTGCTCGGGCATGGAAGCACCATCGCCTCACCAGAAATCACACATCCCTTCTGCTCTGGGCTTAGGGGTGCAAAGAAGAGAACGCTTCCCTGGCAGAAAAGGGCTCCTGGGAGTTACTGGGAGCAGACCAGGAAGCACAGCACTGCTCATGGCTTCTAGTGAGGAAGGCAAAGAGCACCAGGCATGCAGCTTCTACAACAAAGTATAGTCCCAAGCCCTCTGGGTTTCCATAAACTCAGCTGCACCTGGGCTCATGTCAGTGCAGTGGGACAGATTGCTTTTGAAATCCACTGAACAAAAAAAAAGACAGTGCATTTACCAGAAAGCACAAACAACACAAGCTGTGCTTAGCCAACATCTCCGCTTGCAAAGGCCCATGATGTTGTGCAATGGGGGCACGTGCTGGCTGCTGGGATCCCATCACTACAACACTATTGCAAAAAGAAATGTCCCCTGGGCTTCCCGGGGAGCAGCTTACCACCAGGGCCAGGACCAGGGTCCGCACCTTCTCCCCGATCTCTGGAGAGATGTCATTGCCAAACTGCTGCAGGGTGGTGAGGAAGCGTTTCAGCTTGCTGAGCTGCCGTGCGCCGCACGTGGCCGGGAGCTGCTGGTTGGTCAGTGAGGAAGAGGAAGAGGAGGCCGGGCCGTTGCCAAAGCGCTGGGGTGGGGATGGTGCCCCATTGAGCGTCGGGGGGGAATGGTTCATCCCGTTGGGCACTGCAGAACGGAGACAAAAGTGTTATGGCACGAGATGGGCACGGCCCCGAGGGCTGCGTCCCGCCTGCAGTGTGACCGTACTCCCCGTGGGGCTGAAGGGAGTTTGGCAGACGCGGCTGTTTGTCCAAACCAGTCCCATCTGTGATCGTGTCTCCTTTAAGCAGAAGGCGTGATGAAACTGACTGCAGCTTGGGAAGTCCGCATGGGATTAGAATAAATTGTTGACATCCCCTCAGTGCTGTTGTGCAATCTGAAGTCGTGTCTGGGAAATGGTGAAAGCAGCTGTGCATGGGGGGCCCAAACTTCAGATAAACCCAGAATGTTAGAGGTGAAAAATACACCACGGTAAATACAGCTGTGGCTGATGCACAGGGCTGGCTTAAAAGTCCAGAGCTGAACTGTGCACCTCTCCTATGGAGACAGGCTGAGGCAGCCAGGGCTGCTGGCCTGGAAAAGGCACGGCTTCAGAGTGACCTCACTGTGGCCTTCCTGTACCTGAAGGAAGTTTATAAAAAGGAAGGGAGCAACTTTTTACACAGGCAGATAGTGACAGGACAAGGGGGAACGGCTTTAAACTAAAAGCAGGGAGATTTAGGTCAGATGTTAGGAAAAAACTCATTACCCAGAGGGGTGTGGTGCTGGTAATGCTGCCCAGAGCTGTGGGTGCCCATTCCTGCAGGTGCCAGAGGCCATGGATGGGCCCTGGGCAGCCTAAGCTGAGGGCAGCCAGCTTACGGTGGGGGGAGGAGAAGCTCCCAAAGCCCCTCCTAGTAGAGCTGCCACAGGCATGGGAAGGCGTGTGCTGGCCTCAAAGGAACACAGCCTGCCAAAGCTGCCAACATTCCCACTGCAGCTTCCTCAGGATTGCTCCTTGGGTCTTCCAAAGAATCACACCTGGGAGGGTTTTTCAGAGAAAAGTACAGAGGCATTGGAGCAGTTAAACCACCCTGAGGCACAGCAAGGCTCCACACACCTGGAGCTGTGGGGTGAGCACAGAAAGAGGAAGCACAGTCAGTTGAGATCCAAAGGAAAGATAAGGGTGAAGAGAGCAAACAGGGCAAAAGGCTTTTCTGGGGCATAACAAAGACACACTCCTTTGTGCAGAGAGCGAGGACAAAATGAATGTAAAGACTGAGGACAGAGCTGTGAAGGTGAAACGGCTGATGCCTTCTGTTCTAGGTCAGTGCAACCAGAGAAACTCCTCGCCACACCTCCCCAGGCCAGGAAAGGAACAGAGATGACCTGCAGAGATCAGCAGTACCTGCCATAGCAGCAAATATTGAGCTCATTTAAAAGGCAATGGCAAGTACTCACAACGAGCATTGGTTCTGCAGTAAACATGTAATAAAGAGAGGTAAAGCCACCCCAAGCAGAGCAGTAATGCACAGCCTTGTGCCCTCCAGAGGCTGCAGCCAAGGAGCTCTGCCCCGTTCCCCGTTTCTTTCCTCTTGCTCTTAGCAAGGGAAGAAGGACAGTGGAGGTTGCTGTGTGTGGGCAGGAAGGGGCAGGGGCTGCAGGGGAGCACAGGGTGAGCAGGAATATGAAAGTCATCCTCGAAGGCTACACCACTAAATTCTGCAATAGGTACCAAACTGTCTCTCCTTGTCTTTACATCCCTTCACAGTGCAGGGCGTGCAAAGGGTGGCTCTGAGCACTGCCTCTGTGCACAGCCAAGAAGTGAAAAGCATGAGTAAACTTCATCACAGCTTGTAGTGCTCGCCCTACTGAAGAGGCAGTGAAGTCATCAGGCCTCAACAGATTCAGGTGACTTGGCCCTTAACAGAGTGCCAAGCAGCCTTATTGGAAAAATTAATTTCTATCACTCTGCTAATGGTCTTTTTCTGCCTTAGCAAAAGGAGAGCCATTAAAAAACCCTCCGTGTATAAAGCCAGGGACAACGTGTCTGGCGGGATAACCCAATGATTAGCACTGCTGCCAGCATCTCTCAGTGCATTAGCTGGTGTCCTGAAAGAGACTGAATGGCAACGCTGTGAAATCCCCTGCCAAGATGAAATGGAGATGCCCCAGACACTGCTGTGGGTAGCAGAGCAATACACACACAGCCAGGGGACCTCAGTATGGAATAAGGGTGAGGAGAGAATGGAATGTCTGCGTGCCACGAGTGGGGTAAGGTAATTCCATGCTTGAGTGTGAAGTAAAACAGCTGTGTCCTAAAATAATGCTTTTAGATGATGAGATTTTAAGATGATGGCTTAAATGTTTTCTAAAAGGAAAAAGCATGAGCCTGTGTTCTTCCTGCGAGGTGGGGCTGAACACCCATCCCACCTGGTGAGCTGCCTCCGAGCAGCACCCTGCAGCTTAACGGGAGAGGTTATGGAGCAAAGATGGAGAACAGAGAACTTGGACAGACAGTGAGAAATTTCCGAGGCTGTGAAATTAAAAGAGGAAAACTTTCTAATCTCAGCTGCAGAAACGCTGTCTGCAATGCGAGACACAGCAGAGTGGGAATTAACTCTGCCAGATACACACAAAGCTCAGCTCCTGGCTTCTTTGAAGCCAACCTGATAAAAGCCTTAAAGAGGTTATTGCAGAAATCTGCACCTGCATGGAGACGGACTTGGAGAGACTGTGACAACACTGGGACAAAGCAGGAATGGGCAGGGTTGTACTACAGACCCCATGGTACGTCCTACATAAGCAGAAGGAAAGCCCCAGCCCTCGCTCCCAGCTGTGCAGCTCTGTGCTGGCCAGCAGCCTGGCAAACAGGGAGCCCTGCCAGATGCTGGCAGAAGCAGAGCTCCTCGTCGCCGGGCCAGTCCCTTGGCAAAGTGATTTAGTGGGGGCTTACGTGCAGCTGGGGTGAAGGAGACGGGCCGAGGGCCGCCAGGGTTGACGGGGGGCAGTGGCGGCATATTGGGAGGAGAGGACCTGGTCTGTATCTTCACTTCCACGGGCGAGCCGGGCATCACTGGCACCCTCTTCTCACCAGCAACTGTACAAAGAGAACATGGACACGTTACCAACAATCCTCACAGGGATTGCCCTGCCGAGCACAAGAAGCACAGAACTGCAAAGGCTTTCCCTCCATTAAAACTGCGGAGGGATACCGAAACCACAACAAGCCACTCTTATTTTAACTGTAATAAAATAACAGCACTAATGCAACACTGCCAAACACGACTCACACACACCTGGCCATGCTTTCACACCACGTGTCTCTCACTGGCACACTGCTGCACGGCCACAGCACTCACACCAGTAACAGCTGGAGGAGCACTGCTATGTGCGCAGGAGCTGCCCTGGCTTGGTGCCGAGCCCTGGTACCCCCTTGCCCCTTGTCCTCAGCTCCTAGCTTTGGGCACCAGAACATGGCCACACATCCACCTTGATTCCTCTTCTTCCCCTCCTCCACTGTGTACATACACAACTGGATTTTGCCACGGAGAGAAACTGAGCCTGAAACAAATCTTAAAGGTCTTTTTTTTTTCTGTTCTCCTAAAGCATTCCTAGAGCACGCCACACGCAGCATGGAAGCACCAGCAAAGAAAGCAGGACTAACCTGGTTAAACTGCAGAGGGGGAAGAAGAGCCACAGATTTGATTCCCTGGAATATAACCAGCTAGCGCTGTGCTACCAAATGAGAAAGAAGTTACCCACGAGGAGGGTGGTGAGGCACTGGGACAGGGTGCCCTGGGAGGTGGTGGGTGCCCTGTCCCTGGTGACACCAAGGTCAGGCTGGACTGGGCTCTGAGCGCCTGATGGAGCTGTGGGTGTCTCTGTTCACAGGGATATGGGACTGATTCCTTCCACCTCAAACCATTCTACAATTCTATGAAAGCCAAGACTGGAGGAGCCAGCACCTCACCTTCGGATGTGCTCCAACAGATAGCAAGGACCAGGCAGGGCTGATAAGCGTAAAGCTTCCTGCTAAACTCCTGGGGCCTCTAAAACCCAGATAAAACCCATCCTTCTGAAACTCAGTTTTAGCCTAACCACATCCATTTCATGAGAACCAGGCCTGCAAAACAGGCTGTGAGTGAGGATGCGAGCCAGCCCCTGGCTGAACAGGACTAAAAACCAGACAGCCTTTGTCCCATGTAGACACTGCCTTCCCCACCCCCTCCTTGCACATTTCACTATTCAGAAATATTTACCGGCTCACCAATGGCAACACAGCCGTGCTGCCTCCAGAGGCACAGGAGATGCTGCAGGTCCCAGCACAGCTGGAATCGTGGCTGAGAGCTGAACACCAGCGCAGCTCCCTGGGTCACATTGCATCAAGGCCCATCCTTGCTGATGGCTGAATGCCCCAAGCATCAAGCAGGACACCTGCCTGCCCTGGGACACTGATGGATTTTCCATCAGCAAGGCTGGTTCCAGCGCAGGTGCTGAGTGCTCCCATGCAGCTCTTCTCGAAACGCTTACAAATGTTGTGTCTGTTTTTCCAGCAGTGCCTGCAGCACACGCACTGAGCACATTTATGGCACATTGCTCTTACCATTGCTGCCAACTGACCCGACCTGGGGATGACACAGTGACCCAGGAACAGCAATTTGAACCACAGAGGGGCTGCAGCACTGCGGTCCCATGGGGGGCTCCTCCATAGACACGGAAGCATTGGGACATCACACAGGAGGATGATTCACCAGGAGCAGAGAAAAACCTGAGCACGGAGACACTGTTCTAAGCCCAGCTCGGTGCAGGAATGCCACATCCTCAGGAAGCTGATGGGGCAGATCCTGCAGCGCTTGGAGTCACGGCTTTCAGATGCTGCAGAGCTCCTGCCTGGAGCAGGACAGCTATGGCACACAGTCTGTGCAGTGTGCCCATGTGGGGCAGGCGCCTGCCCCAAGAGCCCACACTCAGCGATTCCCCTTACAGAAGCCTTCTGACTACTGTGTTTAGTGCAAAGAGAGTGTTGCTATGATAGGTAACCTCAGAAGAATGGCTAATATTTGCTTGCGCTGTAAACTGTATATAGAAGCTGCTTTAGTAATCTCTCCCTGCTTGTAAGTTCAAGAAAAGGCACGGGTGAAAAGAGCCACAAGTCAGGGAGCATCCCAACCCCTCTGGAACTCACATTAATAATACTAAATGCCTTCAGTAATCAGAGAACAAAGTAACAAAAAGAAAGAAAAACACTGCAAGGTGAGAAGAGGGCACTGCCTCCCTGTACAGGCAGGCAAGGGCTGTGGGGCAGCTCGGGGGGGGCAGGCAATGCCCCACACCTCTCCCCACTGCAATTTTGCTGCGCAGATCCACACAAAGCCAAAGCCGTGAGCTGGCTGCGATGCTGAGCCACAAGCCTGCAGGGAGCAAAGAGCACAGGGAGAGAGCAACAGCACTGACACAGCACACAGCACGTGGACGCTTCATACACATTTCTGTGATAATATTTATACGTGCACAACTTAACACCATACCACAAGCCCTACGCACAAGCACAGGCAGTATCTGTAGGCTGTTAAGCCCTGCTGTCAGCTGCAGACGGCAAAGCCTTTCCTGCTCCTTGATGGAAAGCAGATCTGAGCCTGTGGCTGAGGACACACAGCGTGGATGGGGGCAGACCCAGGTGCTGTTGATGCAGGTGTGGGATGCCCTTGGCTAGGGCTCAGGATGAAGGAGGAACCTGCTGCACCCGGGCTGACAACAGCTGCACAGAGCCCTGCTGCTTCCTCACAGCCCCGTTCACTGGGCTCAGGCACTCCAGCTTAGCAGGCTGCAGCTTTCCGAGAAGTCAAAACAGGGAACACATTGGAAGGAGTGAGGGAAAAGCATGCTGAGCATGGCACAGCACTGCACGGCTGGCTGTAATGCACGCATCAGGATCTGCTTTTTGCTTTTGCAGGTGGCAGGGTGGAGAGAGCAGTGTCACAAGAAGACTGTATCAAGGCTTTGGCCACGCAAGGTTGGAGGTGAGGTCTGTGAGTTTAGCCAGTCGGTGTCTTTTGAACAACAGTTCAGAGTCAGAAGAGTAGAAGTAGGTGACAGTTTCAGACAGAGAGAAAAGCTTTAATTGAAGTAAGCACCTTCAACTTCCAGGTAGTACACATGAAAGTGTGCACAAATGTATCACAGAACAGACAAAACTGAAGCAGCCACTCCTCGAGGCTCAGAGCCCCAAGCTGCCACACCAGCAGCGTGCTGGGCACATGGGCACAGATCACAGCACATGGCACGGCCCACCCCTGGGTGCCCAGCAGTGCCAGGAGACAAACCACGCTCTGCGGGCACCACTGCTTCCTCTGACCTGAGCCTCATACGTAACACAGTCACAGAGCTCCAGCCGCTCAGCCAGACAAAGCCTTCCTAGAAGCAGAGGCTGAGCAACCCCACTGAAATGAGAATCACAGCTTTAGGATAAAGCAAAGCCTGTCCAGGTGATTCTGTGATTCTGTGCCAAAAGAGACCATCTGAAAGAGCAAAGCAAAGGACTCCGGTGCCACGGGGCAGCAGAACCCTGGCCACAGCCTAGGAGAGCTGCTTCAACACAACCCTAAACATTACCCTGGAGAAAAGGCCCCAGAGCTCTGTCCTGCTCCAGGCACCACGCTCACACCGTGCTGCAGCTGGCTCTGCAGCTCCTGACAGGCAATCTGCATGCAAAGAGAAGCAGCACCCGTGTAACCTGACCTGCTCAAGTAAATAGGGTGAAGTGAAATATGGCTCGCCACCTCCCAGCTTTGCTGAATGTTTATTTTGAATAACATGCTTATCTGCTCCAACTGCTCACCATCTGTTTCCAGTCTCCACCAAGCTAATATTTTTCACATTTAGGCACCGAGAAATGGGAAGAATTACATTTAAATTTTATTAACATCTTCCCTCTGCTCCGAGGTCGCCATTCCCTCCCCTCGCCAGCTCTGAGCCATCTGCAGAGCACCTCTGCAGCTCCAAGGGCTGCGTGGAGCTGCCTGCATGCAGCTTCCAGCAGCTCACTGCAGCTCCAGCACCGCTTCCAGGCAGTTTCCAACCCTCAGAACTAAACCGAGGAAGGACCCACCAGCGTACCTTGTTGCAGCACTGTGGCATCAGGAAGCGATGGAGGAGGAAGGCAGGAAGCCTCTGGGATGGGGCAGCTGGCAGCAGCCCAAGGAAACACGGGGCTGGGGTACTCAGTCCTCCTTAGTGGGTGACAGAGAGCTCTGAAGTCAGCTTTCACCCTGTGTTGCTGGGTGTATGGCACAGCCAAGCTGCGACCTGCAGGCCGTGGTGGGAGGGAAGGACGGCGCCTCGTGCAGAGCCCCGCGGCACTGTGAGCTGCTGAGCCTGGGACCGGAGCTTCGTACATCAAAAATAAACGCGTGCATCTCCTCTGCCATCTCCTCCTCTCCCACACACAGCTGCTTCGCTTTAAATCGCAATTCGGTGCAGTGCTCAGATAGAGGAACTTGAAAGAGCAAAGTATGTTATCATTTGCAACCAGTCCAGAAAGCAGTTAATAAGGGAAATAAGATTAATAATTGATTCCTGACGGCAGACTGCAGATCGCCATCTGCTTTGCCCTTCGGTGCTCTCCATAACACCCTATCAGTGCTCCCACCCCGCAGCCCATTCTGGGCTCTCCTGGTTCCCCTCCTCTCGTCCCCACTCAGCACCGACCCACTGAAACAACCCAAAATATCTCTGCACAGAGGTCTGCTTTCAGAACCTATTCCATAGCTGCTGCTTTCAGCTGGAGTCCCCTCTGGAAAAGCACCAGCCCATGGGACAGGGCGACAACAGCACTGTGTGCACATACCCTGCACAGCGCTGCGAGGAGCCCAGCGGGGAAAAGAGTTCTCCGAACAGACCAGACTGCCTTCAAAGCAGGGTTTAAAGACGAAGCTCTGCTACGATCTGCTAAGGTTTAAAGCAGAAAAACTGTTATGAAAAATCCCATATGTTACACAGAACAACTCAGCACTGCAATTTCGGGAGTGGGAATCTTTTTTTTTTCTTCCTGCTGCAAAGCAGATAAAGGTATGACTTCCATACCTGGAAATGCTGACC